CAGCTTTGCCAATCTCAGAGTGTTAAAAGAAAAAAATTCCTGTATCCACATCGTGATCCGGAACATCACCAAAATTTACAGGTGTGTTATTTGAGCCATTACCCACGTGTGATAAAAAGGTCATGACAATCCATCCACAAGTTTTTGAGTAATGTTGTCCACAGACAGAACAACAGACAGATATACGCGACTGAAAACATTACCTCGCCCTTGGCGGAGGTAATAATAACTATAAACTTATAAAACAGAGAAATGTAAAATGTGAGGACCAAGGAAAAGAGGGTAACACTCAATCCTCTTTTTATCACACTTTATTTGCCCTTATAACGTTAGAGGCAGGTTGATTCATTTAGTTACTCTTTTTAATCAGAACTCAACACTGAGGCTTAAATGAATGTTTCAACAGGAAACTCTACTTAACTAATAAGTATTTATCAAATAAGGAGGTGGCTGACTTTGTCTTTTAAAAATTTGATACAAAATTAATCTAAATAAAAAACTGTATCATTAAAAACTGTTACAGCAGCATGGCTTTAGAGTGGAAGCACCCAGGAGCTGAACTGACCTGCCTGCGGTCCACATCTCTCACCAATTACAAATATTTAAAACGTTTTCTAACCAAAAAATGACCAATTTCAGATGCAGCTTTTTTGTGTTCTCTCCATGCATGAATGGGTTTGTCCTAAATAATTTCATGAAGGTGAAAAAACACAGTATTTACCTTTATAATCATAATTAAGAGTGTTTACCTGGAGTAAAAGTTCCTGTTGCCCAAGATCCTGGGTCTTAGAGATCAGTCTCTTTTGTAAGAACTGAATCTTCTGGATGAGCTGGAACTTACCAGGGTCCGTGCCCTGCAGCAGAGAGTTAGCAGCATAACACGGGTTTTTATTGAAGTTTAAAGTCTTTGGTAAGCAGACCTGGACCAGGTGAGAACTGCAGCTGACCCACACACAGGTAGGAATGTTCTCACCTCTAGTCGCCTCCATCTGTGAATGTTTATGGGTTTCAGCTGTTCTTCAAGGATGCTGTTCCTCGTTCTTTCCCTGAGCAGCTCGTTCTGCAGGTGGAACAGCTGAGTCCTGCMGCACAGAACCTCGTTAAAATCAGCTCAAGAACTGAAAACATCTCAAATCCCTCAACTCCTAAAGCAGCCTTTTAACACAGAAACTGGACTCTGTTGTGAAACAGATCATTTCTCCCTCCTGCCTCTCATCGCATCTTTGTTTCTTTTTAAACCTTCTTCAGATCCTGCTTTACGTTGGTCACCAAATATTTCCTCTACGTGTTTACATTTGGTATCCTGCTGTCTTTCTTTCCCTGCTCTCCTCCAGAGTTGTAARGTAACTAAGTACAAACACTTTGTTACTGTACTTAAGTAGAATTTTTGGGTACTTGTACTTTACTTGAAGAATTATTTTTCAGCGTACTTTTTACTTCTACTTCTTACATTTTCACACAATTATCTGTACTTTCTACTCCTTACATTTAAAAAAAAAAGGCAAGAAGTAGAAAGTTGTTACTTTTATTTCTTTTTTGCTTGCTTTCATTCCAGCTTGTTATTGTAAAAAAACAAATACTACCCAAATAAATTATGCCTCCTAGATAGAGTGAATTTAATTGTGGTTGAATGAGAAGTATAAATATTAGGGCTGCAACGATACAGGAAATTCACGGTTCGGTTCGATACTTTAGTCTCACRGTTCGATATTTTTTCGATACAAAAAAGAAAAATGTCCATGCCCCTTTTAACTTGTTATTTGTTTAAATTAAATACAAACATTTGTTTAACCTCAAAAGTACA